TAAATAATATATTATATATATATATGGAAAAAAAACCCTAGCTGATAGATGCAGTGTAAGTATAGTAATACCCAGAGAGGACTCTGTGCTCACTGTGTAGTATTGGGTACTAAATAGCAGAAGCTGTGTCAAACTTTAGAGACGCACAGATGCAATATGTTTGGGATTCTGTTTTTTTGAACCAGAGATGCTTTTAACTGATCTTAAGATTAAAAGCAATTAAATAAGAGAAGATTGTGTTACACTAATATGCCTTTTGAAATAGTCTAACCAAACCACTTCTAGCCTTCTAAGGGTACGACTCTCAAGTGTATGTCTGATGTAAATGAAACACGTGACTTCTGTTCCCCTGATTCACCTTCCTGAAGAAGTGAGAAATTCTACAAGACTTCAGTTTCTTAAATCTCCTGTCTTGCTTGCTTTGCCCTAGTTCTGCCTTCAGTAGACCATCTCTGTTGTTGGAGATTCCTGGCTGACTTGATCCATATTTGTCATAGACTTCATAGCACTAAGCACGAATATGACTTTTACTAGCATCTGCCAAATAGCTGAACAGCTAAGAAAGGCCCTTGGTCTTCCTATTCATAAAGCTTGTAAACTTTCCTTGAGATCCTTCGCAAATGAGAACTTTGAGGGTAACACTTCTGGTTTTGAGCGTTCCTAAGTATTTGTTACCGAACTCTGTTTTCCTCCATTTAATTTTGAGGAATATACTGGTATTTATTTCAAATACATACCTATTGGCATGTGATAGGTACCTGAAACGTAGAGGTAGAAGTTCCCATCTGCTAAAACACCACCACGATGCAGCACAAAGGGTCAGAAGTCTGAGCTGCTACTTCAGAAAGAAGAGGGACTGGCCCTTTCACTTGTTTGTACAACCAGTTCCGGTCAAGAGAACCTGTGTGACTGGTACCACTGCTTTTTGGTTATCTATTCTGCCCCGACTGTTTTCTGCAGAATGGATGAACTACAGCTCTATAAATTACTTCTAGAACACAGTAATAAGAACTTAATTTCATTCTGCAACATCAGCTTGCCCCACAGCTGCTGGATTTTTAGCCCATGACCAAGTGCCGTTTGGTTCATAAATCTCCTGTAAATGTCTGTCTTATGCTATTTTCTGAATAGTGTCTTTTAAGAATAATTCTGTTCCCCTTAAGGCATTATCTCACATCTTCTGTTTTCTTGTTTTACATGTACTGAGTAAGTCCCAGGTCAGTGATTTTCATCTATGTGTTGGATTAACTGTGTATAAAAGCAGATCTGAAAGACAAACAAAAAAAACACAACACCCCCCACCCCCTGCCAAAACCAAAACACCTGTATTTTCCTAATCTATGGTATTTTATATAGAACTTTGCAACTGTATTTACCATAAAATCAGATTATGTTCTAATACAGTATCTTGAATTAGGATAGGATAAGCAGGACAGCAGCTTGGATGCTTTTAACCTTTGCAAAGATTGGCATTACATTAGCTCTCTAAACTGCCTTTTTCCTTTTTTTTTTTTTTTTGCCTTTTTCCTTTTTTTTTTTTT